CTGGGCAACAAAGCGAGACCCTATCTCTATTTTATTTTAAGTGGGGGAAAAAAAAAAAGTTAAATGTCAACTTACCATATGACCTAGCAATTCCATTCTTAAAAATCTACCCAAGAAAAATGAAAACAAATATCCATACTGATACATGTATGACAATGTTCATAGCAGCAATATTCATAATAGCCAAAAACTTGAAACAATCCAAGTGTCCATCAGCTGGAGAGTGAATAAACAACATGTGGTATATCCATACAATGGAATACTATTCAGCAATAAAAAGGAACCGAACTACTGATACCAGCTACAACATATATATGAATGAATATCAAAAGCCTATGCTAAGTAAAAGGACCTAGATGCAAAAGACTATACACTGTTTTATTCCATATATATAAAATGTCCAGAAATAGCAAATTTATAGAGACAGAGAGGAAATTAGTATTTGGCTGGCTAGGGGGTTGGGAGTGGAAATAGGATCGACTGCAAAGAGACATGAGAGAATTTTTTGGTGTGATGAAATGTTCTCATAACATACAGTCCATAACTGGACTGTAGTTATGGCTGTGCAACTATAAATTTATTAAAAATCATTTATACTTAGGATGGTAAATTTTATTGCATGTGAATTAGACCTCAACAATACTGTTTTAACAAAAGGTTTTTTAAAAAGCTAGTAAGCTCAATGTTTTATACACACACACACACACACACACACACACACACACACACCCCTCCTCAAGTAAAGTAATACTGCTCTCTCTAGTAAAAATACAAAAATTACCTAGGTGTGGTAGTGCATGCCTGTAATCCCAGCTTCTTGGGAGGCTGAGGCATGAGAATTGCTTGAACCCAGGAGGTGGAGGTTGCAGCGAGCCAAGATGATGCCACTGCACTCCAGCCCGGGAGACAGAGCAAGACTCTGTCTCAAAAAATAAACAAACACATAAATAAACATATGAGATACCACTACACGCCTACTAGAATGGCTATAATAAAAAAGACAACAAGCCAACTCTGGGTGTACTGCCTATGAGTTAACCCTGCTCTGCAAGGAGCAGTTAAAAAAAATGTTTTTAAAAGACAACAAGTGTTGGTGAGTAGGTAGAGAAAATGAAACCTTAATACACTGCTGATGGGATTATAAAAATGGTATAGGCACTGTAGCAAATAGTTTGGTAGGTTCTTAAAAAGTTAAATATTGGCTTACAGTGGTTCTCACCTGTAATCCCAGGACTTTGGAAAGCTGAGGTGGGAGGATCGCTTTAGCCCAAAAGTTCAAGACCAGCCTGGGCAACAAAGCGAGACCCTATCTCTATTTTATTTTAAGTGGGGAAAAAAAAAAAAAGTTAAATGTCAACTTACCATATGACCTAGCAATTCCATTCTTAAAAATCTACCCAAGAAAAATGAAAACAAATATCCATACTGATACATGTATGAGAATGTTCATAGCAGCAATATTCATAATAGCCAAAAACTTGAAACAATCCAAGTGTCCATCAGCTGGAGAGTGAATAAACAACATGTGGTATATCCATACAATGGAATACTATTCAGCAATAAAAAGGAACCGAACTACTGATACCAGCTACAACATATATATGAATGAATATCAAAAGCCTATGCTAAGTAAAAGGACCTAGATGCAAAAGACTATACACTGTTTTATTCCATATATATAAAATGTCCAGAAATAGCAAATTTATAGAGACAGAGAGGAAATTAGTATTTGGCTGGCTAGGGGGTTGGGAGTGGAAATAGGATCGACTGCAAAGAGACATGAGAGAATTTTTTGGTGTGATGAAATGTTCTCATAACATACAGTCCATAACTGGACTGTAGTTATGGCTGTGCAACTATAAATTTATTAAAAATCATTTATACTTAGGATGGTAAATTTTATTGCATGTGAATTAGACCTCAACAATACTGTTTTAACAAAAGGTTTTTTAAAAAGCTAGTAAGCTCAATGTTTTATACACACACACACACACACACACACACACACACACACACACCCCTCCTCAAGTAAAGTAATACTGCTCAATTTACTTTATTTCTATCATACTGCTCTACCATATAGTGGCCTCTATTGGCCAAAAGGAGAGATTCCGATTAGTTGGTTACTAGTTGCTTTTTTTTTTTTTTTTTTGAGACAGAGTGTCAGTCAGTCACCCAGGCTGGAGTGCAGTGGCTTGATCTCAGCTCACTGCAACCTCTGCTTCCAAGGTTCAGCCTATTCTTGTGCCTCAGCCTCCCAAGGAGCTGGAGTTACAGGCATGTGCCACCACACCCGGCTAATTTTTGTATTTTTGGTAGAGACAGGGTTTCGCCCTGTAGGCCAGGCTGGTCTCAAACTCCTGACCTCAAGGCATCCATCTGCCTTGGCCTCCCAAAGTGCTGGGATTACAGGCATGAGCCACCATGCCTGGCCTAAATTTTATATTTATGATGTATCCACTATATAAACTAGGCATAGAAATGGCTATGGTTTCATCAAAGAGAATTCTTAGGATATAAAGTCTAAATTGTGCCCATTTAGAGGAAAGCAGATGGGAAAAACAGAATAAAAGGACATAAGAAGCACAAGCAAACTCACTTGCTCCCGATCTAAACCATACCTATAAAATATACTCGATAAGAATAACTGTTTTTTTTAAATAATTCATATAACTGACGGACCTCATCCAGTGAACTCAAGACCACATTCAAAGAAAGATACCAATAAAAAGCCTATTATTTCAAGTGTATGCTACATAAGTGAAATGTAAATTAAAAAAAGAAGTCACTTGATTTCTTCACCTTTGGAGGGCAGACTAGCATAAGCTTTGGAGTTAGCTTGGATTCAAATCCTAGCTCTATTTTCTCATTCATCAGCTGACCTTGGGCTTATTATTTAATTTATCAAAGCCTCAGTACTTACTGCTATAAAATGGAGAACATATTTTATTGGAAAGGACTGTTGGGAGTATTGCTTAACCTATAGCAATCATATAATAAATAAATCATACATAATTACTGTTATTTCCATTTAGAAGTTGACAATAAATTTTTATTTTAAATGGTCTTCATGTTCAATACTTATAAGAAACCAGTTCACCAATTCATTGAGCATTTATTAAATGTGTCCAAAGAACTGTGTTTAAGCTCTATGGAGAGACAGTTGTTGAAACACTAAACTATTAAAAATCATTAAAGGGGCCAGGCATGGTGGCTCACGCTTGTAATGCCAGCACTTGGGGAGGCCAAGGTGGGTGGATCACCTGAGGTCAGGAATTCGAGACCAGCCTGGCCAACATGGTGAAACCCTGTCTTTACTAAAAATACAAAAAATAGCCAGGCATGGTGGTGGGCACCTGTAATCCCAGCAACTCTGGAGGCTGAGGCAGAAGAATCACTTGAACCTGGAGGCAGAGGTTTCAGTGAGCCAAGGTTGCACCATTGCACTCCAGCCTGGGCAACAAGAGCTAAACTACATCTCAAAAAAAAAAAAAAAAAATCCTTAAAGGGAAAACCACTGATAAACATTGAAAAGATGTTATAGTGTATTAAGTGAAAAAGATTGCCAAACAGTAGTAATGGTATGATCCTGTTTTTATAAGCACACATGTATATTTATATACACTCACACACACAAATATACATATGTGTGATGCTAAACCAAATTATGCAAACCATAATAAGATGAGCATAATATACATATATAGATGCTAAACCATATTTTGGTTTGGTTATGGTTTAGCATCATACATATGTATATTATGGTCATCTTTCAGTGGTATGGTAAAAATAATTTTATTTTCTTTTTTCTTAGGTATACTTTCTCTTTTTTTGAGACAGGGTCTCATTCTGCCACCCAGGCTGGAGTGCAGTGGTCTTATCTCAACTTACTGCAGCCTCCACCTCCTGGACTCAGGCAATCCTCCTACCTTAACCACTGGAGTAGCTGGGGACTACAGGTGCGCACCAGCACACCCAACCAATTTTTGTATTTTCAGTGGAGACATGGTTTCCCCATGTTGCCCAGGCTGGTCTCAAACTCCTGGGCGCAAGTGATCCTCCCACCTTGGCCTCCCAAAGTGTTGGGATTACAGGCATGAGCCACCATGCCTGGCCTATCTTTTCTAATTTTCATACGAACATTTAACACCACTTTAAAAAAAGGGAAAAGTTGAAGAAATGTTGATCATTAGTACACTGTATACAGATTGGCTCAGATGGAATGTAGGCAATTAGCATCCTGAATTAGAACTGGAAAGAAAGACTTAGAGGGCACAGAATACACCATGTTCCTGTTTAGAAAGATTAAAACAGAATGAAGTCTGAATAACATTTATAATTCATTCCATGAAAGACTCTTTAGATCAGAATGTTATGCTTAGTTTCAAGTGCTGCTTCTAGTTTTTTAGAATTTGAGTTAATTAACTTATCATTTGGAGTAGTTTTCTAAGAGTAGAAAAGAGAAAATTATCCTTAATTTTCTGGCACAGTTAGAGGTAAATGGACAGAATAGAAAAATCACACAAAAGGTTCTCTGGGTTTGGGACTCCACAGAAAGCAGGGTTACTAGGCCATGGCCGAGGGCTGGTATGTGTTTCCTATTCAAACAGCTGGCAGGATGGAAGCACGACCTTACTCTTGATAAGCGAATTGCTGCTACTGGGTTCAGTGCCTCCAGTGACTGGGGTGTTATTGGAAACATAATACCTTAGGCCAGCTAATATGTTGAAGCCCACTCAGGAGTCCCTTTGAATTATCTCTCTGTTCCCAACATTACTGGCTTCTCAGTAATGGAAGAAAATGATTCTGACATCTGCCTTCCACCTGTGAGAGGAGGGAGAAGTGGCAATAGAGGCAACAGTAAGAACAGCCTTCCCAAAACTAAGATTCCACTGCTGCCAACATCTACAAGTCTTGATTATTTGGGAAGGGATAAAGCAAAATGTCAGAACTAAATTTTTGCTGAACAATAAGGTAAACTAATAAACTGGAAAACTCACCTGAAAACATTTTTACAAAGTCATCAGTAGACATACTCATCACCACATCTGCCTGATCAGAAGGCTCTCCATATCCGACATTCCCACCCTTGCTTTTCAGATCAAGAAACCACGTGCCACCATCTTCACCTAGAGAGATAAACATATGGAAATCAATATTATAGGAGCCCTGTTCTTCTTAAATTTAATAATTACTTCAATTAGAATAATCTTACAAAATGCTGTTTCCCAAGTTAAAATCCCCAGACCTCCATCAGTCAAATTCAGCAAATATTTATTAAGCATGTCCAGGTACTCTGCTAGGCTCTGAAGACTCTTCAATAAAAAAAAAAAAAAAAAAAAATGGTTCTACTCACAAAAGAGGAAGTAGAGGGTGATGTGGGAGCATATTAAAGAGTCAAAATACCCGGAGTAAGAAAACTCATAAAGACAGAAAGTAGAACAGTGGTTCCTAGGGACTGGGGGATGGGGGAATGGGAGTTACTGTTTAATGGGTATAGAGTTTCACTTGGAATGATGAAAAAGTTCTGGAGATAGATGGTGATGATTGTTTTTTGTTTTGTTTTGTTTCCTTTTTTTTCTTTTTTGGAGATGGAGTCTTGCTCTGTCACCCAGGCTGGAGTGCAGTGGCTCAATCTCGGCTCACTGCAAGCTCCGCCTCCTGGGTTCACGTCATTCTCCTGCCTCAGCCTCCCAAGTAGCTGGGACTACAGGCGCCTGCCACTGTGCCCAGCTAATTTTTTGTATTTTTTGTAGAGACAGGGTTTCACCATGTTAGCCAGGATGGTCTCGATCTCCTGACCTGGTGATCCGCCTGCCTCAGCCTCCCAAAGTGCTGGGATTACAGGCGTGAGCCACTGCACCTGGCCGGTGATGACTGTTATAAAACAATGTGAATGCATTTAATGCTACTAAGCTGTACACTTAGAAGTGGTTAAAATAGGCTGGGCATGGTGACTCACACCTGTAATCCTAGCACTTTGGGAGGCCAAAGTGGGCAGATCACCTGAGGTCAGGAGTTCGAGAGCAGCCTGGCCAACATGGTGAAACCCTGTTTCTACTAACAATACAAAAAATTAGCCAGGTGTGGTGGGGAGCACCTGTAATCCCAGCTACTTGGGAGGCTGAGGCAAGAAAATTGTTTGAACCCGGGAGGCAGAGGTTGCAGTAAGCCAAGATCACGCCATTGCACTCCAGCTTGGGCAACAAGAGTGAAACTCCGTCTCAAAAGAAAAAAAACAAAAGAAATGGTTACAATTTTACGTATCTTTTACTGCAATGCAAAATTAAATTTTCAAAAAGGGTCAGGAAAGCTCAGTTGAAGCTGAGATTTGAAAGTTAAGTAAGAATTAGCTGGATGGACATGGTAGAGGGAAAGTATTTCAGGCAATGAGAACAGCATATGCAGAAAAGCCAGAATCAAGACTGCAGCATGTGTGAGGAACTGAAAAAAACACAGTGGCACTAGAAGGTAGATGGGTGTTGGATGAGCTTGTGAGGCAGTCTAGGTCTGAGCACAGCCAGTCATGTAAAAGATTGAATGACTTCATCCTACAGGATGTGTCATATGGTAAGGTTTGCGTATGGCCCTACCTACAGTGTAGATAATACATGGAGAGAAATCAAAAGAATGAAGAGGGCTAGTAAGGATGGTGTTGGGATAGTTCAGGAGCTTGAGGGTGCATTCCTGGACTGGGAGCGTGGCAGAGGCATGGAGAAAAGTGGGTACATTTGAGAGAGAATTTCAAGGCAGAACCATAAGACTAGGTAACTGCATATGAAGAGGAAAAGGTGGGGAGGGTACATAGGAATGATCTGCTAGTTCTTGGCTTGGGTGGATTTGTTTTTTAAGTGGGAGAAGACTACTGAAGAACAACAGATTGCTTTATTTTTAATTTTTTAAGACAGGTCTTGCTGTGTTGCCCAGGCTAGAGGGAAGTGGCATGATCACCGCTCACTGCAGCCTCGACCTTCTGGGCTTAAGCAGCCTTCCTGTCTCAGCCTCCCAAGTATCTGGGACTATAGGCATACATCACCATGTCCAGCTAATTTTTTATTTTTATTTTTGTAGAGACAGGGTCTCACTATGTTACCCAGCCTGGTCTCAAACTCCTGAGCTCAAGTGATCGGCCTCCCAGAGTGCTGGGATTACAGGCATCGTTTAAAATTTTAATACAGCTCAAACCAGTATGTCTGGTTCATCTCAGCTCCTTCACTGTCAAACCAGGGGGCAGGGACTGCTTCAGTTTCTCTGCCTTCTCTTTGTGACAACCAAAGTATAATCCTGCTGCTGTGAACTTTATTTTTCTTCATCTTGACAGATATGGCATCCACTTGCCTGGATCTGAGCAGAAAGTGCTTGATTTCCTCCATTTTTCTTTTTCCTTTCTTTCGTTTTTTGAGTCAGAGTCTCGCTCTGTTGCCCAGGCTGGAGTGCAGTGATGCGATCTGGGCTCACTGCAACCTCCGTCTCCAGGGTTCAAGCAATTCTCCTGCCTCAGCCTCCTCCCAAGTAGCTGGGACTACAGGCGCACACCACCAAGCCCGGCTAATTTTTATATTTTTTAGTAGAGATGAGGTTTTGCCATGCTGGCCAAGCTGGTCTTGACCTCTGGCGATCTGCCCACCTCAGCCTCCCGAAGTGCTGGGATAATAGGCATGAGCCACCCAGGAATTTCCTCAATTTTTCGAGGCATGGCAAGGAAGCATGCAGAGAGAGGGTGTGGATTGACAGTGCCCAAGAGACACAGTAAGCCAGACACTCAGCAGATTCAATGGGTGGTTGCAAAGGCAGGTCCTGGGAATGGTTGTTTTGGACATTTTCAGGCTGAGACATCTTTGTGATAGTTAACTAAAAATGTCAGATGAAGTCTGGCTAAGCTAGAAACAGGGACACATAATCAATCGGTTCATATGGTCACTGAAGCCACGTGAATGGTTGGGGTTTCCTAGAGAAAGTGTCAGAAGTAGAGTGTCAAGAGAGCTGAGACAGTGACGTGAAGAACACTGCTTAAGGGAAGGACAGAGGAGAAGCAGCCAGCAAGGGAGACTGACAAGCTATGATCACAGGCAGGGAAGGAAAGCAAGGAGGTTACAATGAAGGACCGGGGAAGGAGCATTTCCACAAGGAAAGTGTGGTCAGCAATATCAAATGCTGCAGTGTGGTCACAAGGGAGGAATGACACATGCCCACTGGTGACATGGAAGTCATCAAGGACCTTGGTGAAAACCAATTCTGTGAAATGGAAACAAATGGTATCAGCAGGGTGTGTTCAGGGGAGTAAGTTGTAGATGAAAATCAGTCTGGCTCTGAAAAGGAGAAAAAAGATGGGGTGCGTGGTTTGTTATTGTCATTGGGTTCTGTTTTAAAGTTAGAAAAGAATTGAGAACATTAAAATACCATTAGGAAGGAGGCTGCAAGATGAACAGATTGAGGACAAAGTACAATTAACAGCACAAAATTCTTGAGAAGGCCAGGGAAAATGGGATCTAGAACTTTGCTTCCAAGTATGATCCATGGACTGCAATACTGTCATTACCTGTCAGAAATGCAGAATCTCAGACTCCACTCCAGACCTACTGAATCATTATTTTGCATTTTAGGAAGATCCCAGGTACTTGGTATAGACATTAGAGCTTGAGATGCACTGATGGGGAGCTGAGCTCCATTCTACTAAGAGGGAAGGAGGCGAGGATGATGCCTATCATGGTTGATTTGATATCTGATGGCAGGAAGCTGAAGGAATTTATGTCTGCAGTCTTCTACCTCTGTCAAAGAGCAAGTGGAATTATCTGCTGACACTGGCAGGGAAGAGGTGAAGGGAAATATGGGAGATTTCAGGAACACTGAGAAAGTTTAAAATAGTCACTGTGGAAAATGCAGCAGTGAGCTGACCATGAAAATACAGAATTCTGAAGTGTTGCTTAAACCTCAGCTGAAGTGGGGCAGTAGTCAATTTCTGCTGGTACAGATCCACCCAGGCGGTGTGATTTTTTTTCCTTTCCTCCCTCAAAACTTAGCAGCCTGGATGCAACTGTGGAGCAGCCAGAGAGTTTGATTCAGCCAGGACTAGTCTTTTGACAGGTGATGGCACAAGCACAAAGGGTCCAGCAAGTTTAGGACACAAGCAAGAGAGTGACTAAAGCCATGGATGATGGATCCCAAGGATGGCAAGGAAGTAAGAACAGGAAGGCAAGAGGGATTAAGATAAAGCAGAGAGGACGAAGAATAAAAACGTTTGTGTATAATGGGGCTGAGGTAGCTTTTTTGTAACATAAATTTTATCTGTTTCTTACTTTTATTTGTTTGAGATGCGTCTCACTGTGTGGTCCAGGCTGGAGTGCAGTGGTTATTCACAGATGCGATCACAGTGTACTACAGTCTTGAACTCTTGGGCTCAAGTGATCCTCCAGCCTCAGCCTCCTGAGTAGCTGCAATTACAGCTGCATGCCACCATCCCTGGCAGCTAGTTCTTAAACTCTTATTAACATGGGTAAATTTTATATGGAGAAGAACAATAGTAATTGGTTTTTAAAAGCTAACTATCATCCGGGCACAATGGCTCACACATGCAATCTCAGCACTTTGGGAGGAGGCTGAGGCAGGAGGATCGCTTGAGGCTAGGAGTTTGAGACCAGCCTGGGCAACATGGCAAAACCCCTGGCAAAACCCCACCTCTACTAAAAATACAAAAAATAGCCATGTGTGATGGTGGGTGGCTTTAATCCCAGCTACTTGGAAGGCTGAGAAGCAGGAGAATCGCTTGAACCCAGGAGGCAGAGG